TTTTTTTTTTTTCAATTGAAAAAGCTACAGGTAGGTCTATAAAAGACATAATTCATCTAAAAAGCAGTGTCTGTTCATTCTAAATTGTATTTGGGGAAAACAACATAGTGCATGTATTACTCTATCTCTTTTTCAGTCTATAGTGATCCCCTCAAGCACCCTCCCAACACATACACCTTGTAGCTCATGTTCCTAAGGCAGGCATCAATAGAACAGTATTAGTTCATAAGGGGAGAAAATTTTCTGTTTCCTTAGGCATAAATTGTTCACTTGCCATAAAAATAATAATACCATTTGTTTGAGTGGTTTGTAGTGACCCTCTTTTTTTTTAAACTTTCAAATTATAATAAGGCCTTTTATACCATTTGTTTGGCTAATTGAAGCTTATATTCTAGTAGTATGTTGTTTTATAGGGTAACAACAATCTTTTTGTATTTGTTTTATTAAGTTACTTTTTTGCTTTTATATTTCAAAATATTATGGGGGTACAAATGTTTGGTTACATGAGTTGCTTTTTTACAGTCTTGAGCCAAAGTTTTAAGCCAGGTGCCCTTCACCTGGATAATGGTCATTATACTTGTTGGATGTGATTTTACCCCTCCCCCATCCCCTCCCAAGTGCTTGATTTCCATTGAATTTTACTACCAAATGTGTCCATGAATATTGATCGATTACTTCCAGTTCAGTAGTATGTGTGGTGTTTGCTTTTCCATTCTTGTGAAACTTCACTTAGAAGGATAGTCTCCTTTTCTATACAGGTTGTTACAAAAGATATTAGTTCGTGTTTTTTCCTTTATTGCTAAGGAGTACTTTTTGCTATACATATACTACATTTTACTAATCTACTCACATATTGATGGGCACTTGGCTTGGCACTTGAGTGATTGTGAATTGTGCTGCAATAAACATTCAAGTGCAGGTGTCTTTTTGATAAAGTGACATTTTTTTCTTTGGGTAAATACCAGTAGTGGGATTGCTGGATCAAATGGTAGGCCTACTTTTAGTTCTTTGGGGTAACTATTTTTTTATATAAGCTGTGCTAGTTTTGTAGTCCCACCAACAGTTTATAAATGTTTCCTTCTTTCTGTTGTTTTGGGATTTTTTTTGTTAAAAGACATTCTTACTGAAGTTAGGTGATACTTTATTGTGGTATTTGCATTTTCCTGATGATTAGAAATGCTGAGTATTTTTTCATTTGTTCATTGGCCATTTTTTTCTGTCTTCTTTTAAGAAACTACTCTTCATGTCTTTTTTTTTTGAGACAGAGCCTCAAGCTGTCCCCCTGGGTAGAGTGCCGTGGCATTACAGCTCACAGCAACCTCCAACTCCTGGGCTCAAGCGAGTCTCCTGTCTCCGCCTCCCAAGTAGCTGGGACCACAGGCACCTGCCACAACGCCCGGCTATTTTTTGGTTGCAGCGTCATTGTTGTTTGGCGGGTCCAGGCTGGGGATTCGAACCCGCCACCTTAGGTGTACGTGGCTGGCGCCTTAGCCAGTTGAGCCATAGGCGCCGAGCCTACTCTTCATGTCTTTTGCCCACTTTTTTGTGGGGTTGTTTAGTTATTTTTTCTTGCTGATTTGCTTGAGTTCTTTATAGATTCTGGTTATTACCTCTTCATTCAGCATGCAGATATTTTCTTCTATTTTGTAGGTTGGCTATTAACTCTGTTGATGGTTTCCTTGGCTATGTAGAAAGCTTCTAAATTTAATCAAGTCCCATTTCTTAAGTTTTGTTGTTGCTGTGATTGCCTTTGGAGGTTGTCTGCATAAATTCTTTGCCTAGGCCAATATCTATAAGAGCTTTCCCAACATTTTCTTCTGGAATTCTTAGTTTCATGCCTTAGATTTAAGTCTGTTATCCATCTTGAATTTGTTTTGTGAGCAATGAGATATACAAGTCCTGTTTCAGTCTTATACATGTATGTAGCTACCCAGTTTTTCCAGCATCTTTTATTGAACAGGAACTCTTTTCCTCAGTGTATGTTATTGTCTACTTTGTCAAAGATCAGATGGCAATATGAGAATAGTTTTATATCTGTTCTGATCCATTGGTCTGTGCCTCTGTTTTTGTGCTGGTACCATGCTGTTCTGGTTACAGTAGCCTTATAGTATAGCTTGAAGTCTGGTAAAGTGATTCCTTTTGATTGTTACTTTTGCTTAAGCTTGCTTTAGCTATTCAGGCTCTTTTCCAGTTCTACGCAAAGCAACAGAAATTATTTTTTATAGTTCTGCAAAAAATGACATTGGTATTTTAATGAGTATTGGATTCAATTTGTAAATCACTTTGGGTAGTAAAGATACTTTGACAATGTTAATTCTGACAATCCATGAACATGATCTATTTTTCCATTTGTTTACATATTCTGCATTTTCCTTCCTCAGTGACTTACAGTTCTCCCTATAGAGGTCTTTTTACTTCCTTGGTTAAATATATTCTTAGGTATTTTATTTTTTGTGTTGCTGTTGTGAAAGATATTGAGTCTTTGATTTGATTGTCAGCTTGACTTTTGTTGGTGTATAGGAATGCGGGAATGCTACTCATTTTGTGTACATTGATTAGGTATCCTGAGACTCTGCTGTAGTTATCACTTCCAGGAGTCTCTTGGCAGAATATTTGGGGTTTTGCAAACCTAAGATCATATTGTCAACAAAGAGTAATAGCTTGACCTCTTCTGTCCCCATTTGGATACACTTGATTTCCTTTTCTTGTTTGATTGTTCTACCTAGGACTTTTAGCTCTATTCTGAGTAGAAGTGGTCACAGTGGGCGACCTTGTTCAGTTTCAGATCTAAGCAGGAATGCTTTCAGTTTTTCCCAGTGCAGTATGATGTTGGCTGTGGATTTTCTATATGTGGTGTTATAATTTTGAGGCATGTTCCATCTATGACTATTTTGTTAAGAAGTCTTTTCATAAGGGGTGCTAAATTTTATCAATTTTTTTTCCTCTGTGTCTATTGAGTTAATTGTATGGTCTTTGTTTTTGCGTTTTATGTGGTGAGTCACATTTCTAGATTTGTGTATGTTGTGCTAAATTTGCATCCCTGGGATGAAACCTTCTTGGTCCTGGTGGATTTTTTTTTTTTTAAATGTTATGATGAACTTAATTTGTTAGAATTTTATTGAGAATTTTTGCATCTGTGTTCATAAGGGATATTGGTCTGTAGTTTTCTCTTTTTGTTGTATCCTTTTCTGACTTTGGTGTCAAAGGGATCCTGGGTTTGTAAAATGAGTAGGAGAGCATTCCTTCTTTCTCAGTGTAATGAAATAATTTCTGTAGTTTAGGTAGTAGTTCCTCTTTGTAGGTCTGGTAAAATTTGTCTGTGAAGCCATCTGGTTCAGGACTCTTTTTCATTGGAAGATTTTTTTTATTGCTGCTTCAATTTCCTTATCTGATACGGATCTGTCAGAGAGTTCTGTTTTTTTTTCCTGATTGACCCCAAGGAGGTTGTTTGTTTCCAAAATTTGTTCATTTCCTCAGTGTTTTTCAGTTTATGTGCATAGAAGTTTTTATAGTATTCAGAGGTGATATTTTGTATTTCCATGGTACCAGTGATAATATCTCCTTTTCCTTTTCTTTTCATTTTTTTTTTTTTTCTTAGACAGAGTCTCACTATGTTGCCCATGATAGAGAACTGTGGCATCACAGCTCACCGCAACCTCAAACTCTTGGGCTCAAGTGATTCTCTTGGCTCAGCCTCCCAAGTAGCTGAGCTTGCAGGCACCTACCACAGCACTCGAATTGTTGGTTAGCTGGCCTAAGCCGGGTTTGAACCCACTAACTTTGGTGTATGTGGCTGGCGCCATAACCACTGTGCTACGGGCGTGGAGCCTCTTTTTTCTTTCCTGATTGACCTTATTAGAAGTTTCTCCTTTTCTGTTTTTGATTAATAAGAGGTCTGTTGATTTTAAAGTTTGTTTTTAAGGAACCAATTTTTTGTTTTATTAATCTTCTGTATAATTCTTTTGTTATAGATTTAATTTAGTTCTGCTCTCACCTTAGTTATTTCATTTCTTCTGCTGGGTTTGGGATTGGTTTGTTCTTTTCTCATTCCATGAGAAGATTAATTAGATTATCAATTTGTGATCTTACTGGATAAGATCGACATAGAAATTTAAGGCTGTAAATTTTCCTCTTAGGACTGCCTTTGCTGAATCCCTCAGATTTTGGCAACTTGTGTTCCTTTTGTCTTTTAGTTTGAAGAATCTCATGATTTTTATTCTCATTTCCTCCTTGACCCAATAATCATTCAGCAGTAGGTTGTTTAATTTGTGACTTTGTGTAGAATTGTTTCTGTTAGAGTTGATTTTTAATTTTATTCCACGGTGGTCTGAGAAGATAACTGGTAATTTTTTTTTTTTTTTATTTGTTGTGTCGTGTTTTGTGGCCTAAGATGTGATCAGTCTTGGAGCATGTTCTGTATGCTGGTTAGAAGAATGTATATTTGGTAGTTACAGGGTAGAATATTCTGTAAATGTCTGTTAGCTACTTTAAATCCTATGTTTCTTATATTCTACTTGGAGGATGTGTCCAGTTCTGTTGGTGGGGTGTTGAAGTCCTCAGGTATTAGGATGTTATTTATCACTTTGTTTAGATCTAGTATGGTTTGCCTTATATATCTGGGTGCACCTGTGTTAGATGCATAAATATTTACAATTGTTATTAAATTGTCCCCTTTACCATTATGTAATGACCTTTGTCTTTCTTCACTTTAGTTGTCTTGAAGTCTATGTTATCTGATATGAGAATGGTTATACCAACTTCCTTTTGGTTTGCATTTGCATGGAGTATTGTTTTCCATCCTTCCACCTTGAATCTGAATGAGTCCTTGCTGATTAGATGTGTATTGTGGAGACAAGTATACTTGGCTTGTACTTTTTTTTAGCCATTCAGCCAGCCTTTGTCTCTTGAGAGGGGAGTTCAGTTCATTTGCATTTATTGAGAGAATTGATCTGTTTATCCTGTTGAGTAGAACTTGACTGCTTTGTTTTAAGTTCTGAACCATTGTGGTACCTGGGTTCTAAACTTTAGCATTTGGATAGTTTTATACTGGTGTGTCTATTGTGCTGGTCAGTGTATAATGCAGGTCTGAATACTTCCATGTTTTGTTTTGTTTTTGAGGCAGAATCTTTTGCCCAGGTTACAGTGCTGTAGCATCAGCCTAGCTCACACCAACCTGAAACTCACAGGTTCAAGAATTTTTCTGCCTCAGCCTCCCACATAGCTGGGAGGGACTACAGGTGCCCACCACAATGCCTGGCTAATCTTTTCTATTTTTAGTACAGACAGGGCCTCACTTTTGCTCAGGTTGATCTTGAACTCCAGAGTTCAAGTGATCCTCCCACCTGGGCTCCCTGAAGTGCTAGGATTATAGGGATTACTGAACCTCAGAATATGTTTTCTCTTCAAATAAATGACTTAAAACTAATTTAGTGATTCTGTTGTTTCCTTTCTCTTAACCCCATTTACATTAGTTTGTTTCAGTTAGTGTGATAATGCAGTAAATTAATGTGTTTCACTCAACAATCTCTGGATAAAGTGCCTCTGTTTGCTACCTAGAGCTATATTAACATACTTCCTTTGGGCAAAGATATAAAAGTGTTAATTAAAAGTATAAGACATTAAAAACAAAGTATAAGACATATGTTTATAAAATTATTACTGATTATAGGTATTGTTGAAGTTATAATAGCAGCCAAATAGTATGTTAAGTGTGTATACTGTATGTTGAAGAAGAGATTGTAATCAGATATAACTGTTTTTGACTTTTACTGTTCCTTTAAAATTTATGTATTTGTTGGAACTTCTTCCTTTTGCCTATTGATAAAAACTTAGAAAGATCTTATCACTTTGCCACTCAGTTGTGAAAATCAAGAAAGTCATGAAATCACAAAATACAGTTTTAGTTCTGATAGGGCATTTCATTACCTTCTACCTTGTAGAATTTTCTCTTGCTTGTCTTAAAATAATTACCAACTTATCCACGTTAAAGAGAGAATTCTCATTCGTGTGTGATAGGATTTAAAAGAAAACAGAATGGAGGAGAATAGTACCCCTAATTGGAATTCTAATGTGAGAAGAATTAATAGTTTTTTCTAATTATTTTAAGAGTTACTTCATACTAAAAGTTATAGAAGGCATTATAGAGTTATAGTTAGAAAAATAGAAAGCTGTGATTAACTTTAAGGTGCTTATATTTCTTTCTATTTTACTAGGAAAACAGATACTTAGAATTAGTTACATATTTTTTTCCTTCATTTTTCAACCTGGTTAAGTCACTTTATAATTCTTAGCTTAGAAACAAAATTCTTTTTTCTACTTTATTTAACTGAACTGATATGCTCAGTGTTACTTAAAAGTGAGTTTTTAATTTCCAGTATTACACTTTGTTGATGCTATTTCTTTGCCATGTGGGTTAGCTGCTGCTTTGTTTTTATTTCTGAAATTTTATTAACCACTGTGCTAATTAGGATGGATCCCCTTCTTGACAGCCCACATTCCAAATATTTGGGATTTAATTCTTGTGCTTCATTATCCTTTGCCTTCCTCTTAGTAAGATTGTTCTCTGTAGGGATGGTTTGTTATTTAATTCATTGCCTTCACTTCAGTGTTTATCTACCTCGGTATTTTAAACAGACTTGCTCAGTGACATCCTTCCATTTTTCTTCTTTAAAACAACACTACCATGATTCAGCAAATAATCACCATTCTGAGAAACATCTTTTGTACATGGAACTTTACATGCAGTTGTACACGAATGTATTATATGCAGTGCAATGCAAGGACCGTGTTCATTCACTGAAATAATGCTACCCTGACACAACCTGTATCTAGCACTCTTAGATACCTTTTATACCTGTCAGTGGCATTTTTTTAATTGTCTTTCTCCAGAGTCTTGCCCATAGCTTTATGACTGTGTCTTGTAATTGTAAGGCCTAAAATTTTAGGAATACCTCAAGTCAGAGTTTTAGACCTGTGTCAACTTTTTATTTCAAATAAGACTAAAAACTTGAAAGCCAACATTTCCTAGGTATTTTGTACCTTTTCTAAGCTTAGTCTCCCTGTTAATTCTGCAGTAAAAGACCTAATATCTACCTATCCCAAAATATAGTGCAGCAGTCTGTTTTGTGTTTGGGGGCCGACAAAACACTAAGGCAAGAGGTGACAACAGTGGAGAATCAGTCTATGTTCACTTCCTGTTTGGTTCATCTTGAGCAGTGGTTCTTAACCTTCCTAATGCTGCAACCCTTTATTACAGTTCCTCATGTTGTGGTGACCCACAACGATAAAATTATTTTTGTTGCTATTTCATAACTGTAATTTTGCTACTGTTATGAATCGTAATGTAAATATCTGATATGCAGGATGTATTTTCATTGTTACAAAGGGGTTGCAACCCACAGGTTGAGAACCAGTCGAGAACCACTGATCTAGAGTTTAAAAACAGCCAAACAAAGATACAGGTGGTAATGGCAAGAGTCTCTAGAATTAGTAGATTATGCTTTCTTAATTATCTGAGAGTGTGATGAAAATTTTTATTCTTATAAGCGAATTTTAATTTTGAATTTTTTTGTGTGATTTACAGACAGATGCCAGTGTCAAGGCCATATTTTCAAAAGTGATGGTTATTACAAGTAAGTTATTTTAAATCTATATAATAAAAATTTAAGATCTAATTATAGCTATTATAATTAAAAGTGATTTATCAGTGTCATAATAGACTATGACAACATAGGAATCTTAAATTTTCTTCAGTGTCTTATATTAGCAAGTGTAAATTTGGTTTTGAGAATTTATTTAAATCATTATATAAGCTTACTGTAAAAACTAAATCTGTGCTTTGGTATTGCTTACTCTAATGTGAATCTGTTTGAAGCTAATTTCACTTTGAGCCAAATTAGAGTAAAGGGTATACCCAATAACCACATAACAGCTTTGCAAAAATACATTAACTTGCTTTTTTGATTTAAGTTGTGTGAAATAAAAATATTATTTAATTGCATTGAACAGTAAATACTAATACATACTTGTATCTTCCTATCTCCTTTGTTGAGTACAGGAGTAAAGTAGTTGACTGTTTTTTTTATTTTTGTCTTATTTTGTTATGGAGAGGTGTCACTGATTTAAAGCTCAAAAAAGTAGCTGTTTTGCAGGTGGTTTGTTTTTCCTTTCATCTCACACGTCACTGTGTATTGCATAAGGATAGAGGGAGAATCAGGAATACCTGGAGGAATGCTTCTACTGAACTTAAAATGAAGAGATTTTAAGATGGATCTGAGATACTAAATATTCCAAGATGTGTATGGAAATAGTGTTAAGACTCTGATGGTTATAGTAAACCTAACTCACTGGATTTTTGATTAAGTGATGAGAGTTTTATATTAAGAGTATAGCTTTAAAACCAAAATACCTTTCAGTCCCAGGTAAACTAATTTTTAGTTTTCTAAGATAACTTGCTATAGCAAGTTGTTTTGGGCTATTGATTTTTTATAACTATTTCCTCAGTAGTTTGGCCGTGGATACTATCCCCCATGGATTTACCCCACAGGAAATCGTTCTTTATATTCTAACCCCCCCGCCCCCCAATTCATTTTCTTCCAGCAAGTACAGTATTTCCCAGATTCTTTTCTGAGGAATGGTAGTATTCTGCAGGTGTTAACAATATTGTGAGAAAGATGTTTCATGGTCTTATATTTTTATAGAATGCTGAATAAAGGTTCCTTTTTGTTTTCTCCCTCCCTTCTTTTTCTGTCCCCACCCTTTTGCTTTCTCAGATAGTCTTATTTTAGCCTTTAATGAGAATGCCTGTATATTGTGAAGGGGCTGGAAAGTGGTGTTTTCCAAAATTATGTGAAAACAGTGCATTTTCCTGAACACAATGCTAGTGATCTTTAGAACACAGATTGCAAAGTGCTGCATTGGCAGTTTTTTCCCAGCTTGCCCTCAGTTGCTTATTGTGTATACATTTAGTTCATCTTCTGTAAGAGATCATGTTTATTTATTGTACTGTAATGTGGTTCTTTTTCTTTGCAGTTGACTTTTTTGTATGATAGAAACATGGAAAATGCTATAGTATGTAAGGAAGTATTTAATGTATTAATGGATTCTTACTACAATCATTCTTGCCAAAACAGAACATTTCAGAGTTGTGTGTGAACTTAAAGACAGCATGTATACTGTATCATATTTTAAGATTCAGTTGAATTCCTAGTACATTTTTTATACTTCTGTATTATAATTGCTGTTGTTAGAGCTATCCTAGTCTGGTTCTCTATAACAGTTAAGTTGCCAGAAAAAAGATACTAGGATCAACATTTTGTTAGTTCTCATAAGTGTTTTGTTACATAAACACATTAGAACAGTATAAAAATCATTTTTAATTCAAAGACTCATCCTTTTTCATGTAGTAATGACATACCCCCGTAGTAACCCCTGGAATATGTTGCTTAGTATGTTTGTGTGTACATGCATGTGTATGTATGTGAATTATTTCTGGTTGGTTTAACAAAAAACAAAGAAATACAAGAAAATAGTTTCTTAAAGGGAAAACTTACTGATTAATTTCTTTCTGTGAATTATAAGAGAAAAATGTACGCGACAAGCTCAAGGGGACAGTAATAAAATTGGTATTATTCAGGTTGACCTTTAATGCTTTTCAGTGTCACAAGGAGTTTTTTAGAAATATCCAGTTCAGTCTTTTTCCCTGTATAGATGTCTCTTCACAGTGATCTTGTTTTGATTTCTGGAGAGCATATTTTTATTTGTGAAAATTAACTAATGGAGTTGTTTTCACATTTTATTTTGTTAAACTAAACAATTTATAGGTAAGGATTATTAAAGTAATATTAAAAATATTTTAATCTTTTATTGAGAATTTTTTAAATTTTAATTGGTTTTTAATTTATTTTAAGGAAATTTGCCGGATCCTGGTAAGGCTCAAGATTTCATGAAGAAATTCACACAGGTGTTGGAAGATGATGAGAAAATAAGAAAACAGTTAGAAGTACTAGTTAGTCCAACATGCTCCTGCAAGCAGGCTGAAGGTTGTGTGGTAAGGGGAGAAATTAAAAGAGCTAATATTTGAAAAAATCCTCAAATCTGGCTTTTTTTTGTCCCCTACTTATATTAAAAGTAACTTTATTCATTATGCGGAATTTAGAAGATATCATAGAAATAACAGTACAAGTAAACTATAATCTCTTTATAAAACAATTGCTATTAATAGTCTGATTATATATATATGTATGTATCCTTCTGAAATCAGATTATATAACTTAGTTTTGAACATTTTACTTAATTTTCATTAATCTTTTTATAGTTAATAACTACATAGCATACCATTGAATATACACACAGTTTCTGGAGTAGCACATTACATTATATGCAGAGGGTTTTTTCTCACTTTTTTATTAACACAAAGAGCAGTATAATTAGTATCTTGATAGCTAAACATCTTGATTCTTTGTTTTAGGATATATTTCAAGAATTACAATTGCAAAGGTTAAAATTCCATTTTTAGAACCTTTAATATGGGCTCGGCACCTATAGCTAAGTGGTTAAAGTGCCAGCTACATACACCCAGGCAAGCAGGTTCGAACCTGGCCCGGGCCTGCTAAACAGTGACAGCTGCAACAAGAAAATAGCCGGGTGTTGTGGCGGGTCCCTGCAGTCCCAGCTACTTGGGAGACTGAGGCAAGAGAATTGCTTAAGCCCAAGAGTTTGAGGTTGTTGTGAGCTGTGACGCTATGGCACTCTACTGAGGGTGACATAGTGAGACACTGTCTCAAAAAAATAAATAAAACCTTTAATATGTATTGGCAAATTGTTCTCCAGAACTGAATTAGTCTTATGTTAACAATAGTGATCATTTTCTAACACGTAACAGTATTGGCCAGGATCATTGCTGGAAACAAAAACCAAATAAAAACAAGAGTTATTTTGAAGGATTCGTATTTATTGTTTGCTAGTTATCTGACCATTTTTTTCCTCTTTTGGTTTATTGACCATTCATATTTCTTTTGTAAGTTGTATGCTTATAAGGTGACCTGTTTTTATAAAATCGTATTTGTTTTTATCTTATTGATTTATTAGTTTGTCATAATAGTGTTGTCTGTTAGGTTGCATATAATTTTCCCTCACTTGTAGTTTTTCCTTTCATTTTGTTTATGTCATTTGGCTACTATAGTTTATATTTTCATCTAGCTGAGTCTGTCAGTATTCTTTTCACGGTTTTTGCTTATGGTGTCCTGCTTATAAAATCCTATTCTCTTGCAAGTCAATGAAAATATTTACTTTTGTTAGTGTTTATTAATGTTTTAATTTTGTTCTTCAGTATTTTTATTCTTTTCAAATATTTTTGATATAAGGTATGAAATAAAGGCGTAACTTTTGTTTTTATTCCAAATGTCCAGTACATTAGATTGAATAATCTAATTTCAGTACAGTAGATTGAATAATCTGCCTTTTTTCTATTTACTTGAATAGTTAACCTTTCCCATATGCTAAATTCTTAATCTAGTATTTTTTTCTTGAATGTTACCTTTCCCATATGCTAAATTCCTAATCTAGTATTTTTTTCTGGACTTAACTCAGATTATACTTACTTGTTTATTCTAGCATCAGGACTGCATGGTTTTTATTATTATAGATTTTGAATATTTCAGTATGATGATCTTTTTAAACATATTATTATAATATTTTAAAAATCTGCATTACAGCGTGAAATAACTAAGAAGTTGGGCAACCCCAAACAGCCAACAAATCCTTTCCTGGAAATGATCAAGTTTCTCTTGGAAAGAATAGCACCTGTACACATAGATACTGAGTCTATCAGGTATTTGTATATTAAAAATAATGAAGTTCTCGTTACTTCTTATATGTTTACACATTCAGGGGATCAATTATTATACCTGCTGAGTATAGCTACTTGTGTGTATATTTTCATGTGTACTCATCTATATATATCTATATGTGTGTGTATTATGTATATGTACATCCACTTATCTGTGTGTATCTTTATGTAGTTTTTATAATTTATTTTAATTTTAAGTATTGGTTCAGATGTGAGAAATTGTCAGTCTAAATCTAAGTTTTATCTGTTAGGAGTACACCAAGGACTGACTCCTCTTTTTTGTTAGCTTGTATAGGTTAGATAATATAAATGTATTTTTGTTATGCCCTCAAGAAAAAAAAGAACTAGGTAAATCTGTTATAAAGGAACATGTAATGTATTTTCACAGATATTTGAGAACTGAAAATGTTTTCAGTGTGTATATATAGCATATTGATTTATTAGTCATTAAATATTACTAATGATTTTTCGTCTTGTACTCAGTGAAGCCCTTTTGGTGATGTTTTCTTAGGGAGGGCATCAGGTATAGCTGTGGTCCTTAATCTTTCACAAATAGACCTTAACATTGGTTACCCGGTAGTCACTTTGGACTCCTTTTCCATCAGTTTTCATTTGAAGTGGAGAGGGCAGAAGAAGAGTTGGTTTGCCAAGGTGTTGGTGTAATTGTCTATAGATGGTAGTGGGATGGAAAGGAAAGAACATAATTGAGCGAAGTTTTAAAAGAACAACCTGGCCCGGCGCCTGTGGCTCAAGTGGCTGAGGTGCCAGCCACATACACCTGAGTTGGCGGGTTCAAATCCAGCCCAGGCCCGCCAAACAACAATGACAGCTGCAACCAAAAAATAGCCGGGTGTTGTGGCGGGTGCCTGTCATCCTGGCTGCTTGGGAGGCTGAGGCAGGAGACTCGCTTGAGCCCAGGAGTTGGAGGTTGCTGTGAGCTGTGATGCCAGAGCACTCTACCCAGGGGGACAGCTTGAGGCTCTGTCTCAAAAAAAAAAAAAGAACAACCTAAAAAATTGTTGCCTTACTGGAAATGGGGAATAAAGGCAAACAAAGGTTAGAAATATAAGGGTTTAAGTCCAAATGATGTCAAGAATAGTAATACCTGGAAAAGAATGAAGGGAGGTGTTTTTGAAGGATGTGAGAAAAGATAACACTTCTTATTTGGACATTACAATATTGTTAAAATCAAGGAATATTGAGTTTTGTGTGAGAGTGGAAATAGATTAATTATCTACTGAGGTTGCATAGAAAGAAGTAAAAAAATGAACATGGAAATTTTCTTACAGTAGAAAAATTACAGATATTTAGATCAGGGTATTACAATGTTTTGAAATTTAAGATGGAGAATGTTTTCAAAAATAAAGTATTCTGTGAATAGATGGAGACAAACTTTTGGCTTAAGTAATGAGAAGGTCATAGAGGTCTAGAAGATACTTTAAAACATAAACAGTAACAGGTAGCAGTTAGTGCTTCTTTTGTCTTCTGAGGTTCTGATAGATTTTTATCTCATAGATAGGTTGACCAGACGTCTGCTTTTGAACAATTTGTCCTGTGTCCCGTGGTGTTTTAAAAAAGTCCCGATTTTTGGAAAGAATGCACAACTGGGCAGGAGAACAAGAGGGAATATACAGTTTTCGGCTGCCATGTGGCTATTTCTCCAGAATATGAGTTTTATATTATTTTTGTTAATTTTATAATGTTAAACTGTAATAATAACAAATAATTGCTGAGAAGTGATTATCGAGAACTGCTTATGAAAGTTTGCGTTGTTGTCAGGCCCTGCCCTGCCCTGTCCCCCGGCCATGTTGTCCCACTTTACCGATGTTAAAATCTAATCACCCTACTCATAGAGGAAGTTTTTTCATCTCTCCTCTCTTAAAATTGATTGGCTGTTCTCAAATATTAATTAGTCTTCAAGATGACCCTTGGTATGTATACTTGTTGAATTTTGTCCCATACCAAGTGACATATAGATTCTGTGCATTACAACTTTTTATTTTTATTTTATCTATTTTGATTTGTTGCTGTGAGTAGAATGAGTATTTCCCCGTTTGTTGTAAGTGGCTTTTGCTGTTACAGAAAAGCACCACTAATTGTGAGTGTTTTGTTGGTGTCGCCTCACTGAACTATTAGTATTTTTAAATAGATTTTTCAGTTGCTTCTCTTTAGTCTTTCAGGTTGATTTTTTTTCCCCAGAGATTTTTTTTTTATGACTGTTGTTCTTTGCTCATTAGCTGAATTGTACTGCTTCAGAAATGCCTTTCTTTGTTATTTCAGCTAAAGAACGCTACTTCATGTCATGGCTTTCTTTGTAGTCCCTATTGTTCTCTGATGATCTTTTTTATATTTGCTTTGGTCTTCCTTCACTAGACTGAGACCTTTATGCCTTCAGTATGGAAGAAAACAATGAGTTTAATTTTGGATATGTGCTATTTTTGATTCCTTTGGTGCATCTAGGTAAAAAATCTTAGGGTTACTGAAAATACAGGAAAAAAATTCAGATTAAAGATTTCACTTTAGGGTAGTTGGAGATGTGGGAATAATCAAGGAAAATGAGCAGAAAAAGAAACGCTCTCAGAAATACCAGCTTTTAGAGGGCTGATAAACCTAAGGAGACTGTATAAGGGAAACAGACTCCTAGCATTATCTTAAATTAGCATATGTAATATCTTTGTAGAAACACATTTACTAAACATTTTAAGGAAGATTGAATAATTGAATTTTCTTTTTGTTGTTGTTTTGAGACAAAGTCTCACTATGTCACCCTCAGTAGAGTGCCGTGGCAGAGTGCTGTGGCATCACAGCTCACAGCAACCTCAAACTCTTGGGCTTAAGTGATTGTCTTGCCTCAGCCTCCCAATTAACTGGGTCTACAGGCTCCCGCTGCAGTGCCTGGCTATTTTTTGTTATTGTTGTTGTTATTGTTGTTTAGCAGGTCCAGGCTGGGTTCAAACCCGCCAACCCAGTGTATGTGGTCAGCACCCTAACCACTGAGCTATGGGCGCCAAGCCTTGAATTTTCTTGTATTTTGGTATGTTTCATGTCTGTTTAATCTGGTGTTTGTTTTTTGTAAAAAAGAACAAATAATCAGTGTAAATTATTATTTTAGGTAATTGTCAATACATTACAGATGTTTATTTTAAAGTAACATAAGCTTGTTTTTTTTAGAGGAAAATTTGAAAACATTGTGTTTCCCTTTTTATCTATTGTAGTTCTTTTTCTAATGTTCTAGTGAAATGTTGTTCTATGTATGTTATCTAGTTATTTTTATACGTTTTAGGAGCCTGGTCTGCTTGTTTCTGGCTCTTCTAGCTCTGTCTGACACACATGGTATTTGGTAAATGGTTTGACAGTGCTTAAGGTTGACATTTGTCCTTTTTTATTTCAGTATATATTGTTCCACTTACTGGTCTAATAATGAATTTTAGATAATTAGAAAATAGTCTTATCATTTTTATTCGGTTCAGGCCATGTTTGGAAAAGACAATAATAAAGATATCAGTAGCCTTAATAAAGAGGAAGTTAAATGGCTGGGCACAGTGGCTCATGTCTATAATCCCAGCACTTTGGGAGGCCAAGGTGGGTAGATTGCCTGAGCTCACAAGTTCAAGACCAGCCTGAGCTAGAGCAAGACCCCATCTCTAAAAATAACTGGGCATTGTGGACGGTACCTGTAGTTCCACCTACTTGGGAGGCTGAGGCAAGAGAATCACTTAAACTCAAAAGTTAGAGGTTGCTGTGAGGTATGATGCTAGAGCACTGTACTGGGAGTGACAAAGTGAGAGTCTGTCTCAAAACAAAAACAAAAAAGAGAGCAAATCAAGTAACATTTTCACCTCATTTAAATCAGCAAGGGAAAGTAACTGCTTTTGAAATGAAGCATCTCAAAGTATTTTATTATAATTATTTATTTTGCATTACTGTTTGAAAACCAGCTCTTTCAAATTTTTATGTGATTTGGATGTGGTATATATAGAATTATTTGTCTTAGATACGGCCACTGAGTAACAGTTGAGAAAAACGACAGTTTATTTTTTTGTCATACTTCAGTGCTCTTATTAAGCAAGTGAACAAATCTATAGATGGAACAGCAGATGATGAAGATGAGGGTGTTCCGACTGATCAAGCCATCAGGGCAGGTCTTGAACTGCTTAAGGTATGTTTCTATTTGAAATCATATGCCTTAACTGTTAAATGTACATAGTTTATATTGTTATTCTTAAAGTTTGCTTCTTAAGTTTACATAATCTCAAGTAAAATTTTAACAGTTAAGTTCACAAACTCATCCTGAAAAAAGTGCTACATACCTCTTTGTAGCTGAAAATCACTACAGTCACCTTTGAAGTACCCTTGAAAGCAATTCTGGAACTTTTTCTAGAATGGCCATCAGAGTTGTCATCATATTACCCTCGATGTCCTGAATCTCACTGAAATGTCTTCCTATCAATATTTCCTTTATTTGGGGGTAATGAAAAAAATCACTGGGGGCCAGATAAGGTTATGTGGGGGAGGGTGTTCCAATATAGTTATTTGTTCACAGTTAAAAACTCCCTCACAGACAGTGCCCTGTGAGCTGGTGCTTTGTTGTGATGCAAAGCCACACCTTTTGCTGCCAAGATACTCATTTAAGATTTTTCTATTTGTCTGTCTATGTTTACTTGTTCTGCTGTGCTTCTCACAGTACACCAATGATTTTGACTTATTGTTTGATGAATTTTTGCAATATTTTTGTCAGTTCTGCTTGTTATTGTCTGCCCTGATCTCTCTTCATCAGTGATGTTTTCTCTCCCCTTTGAAGAACATTTAATCTATTTGTACGCTGCCATTTTCTTCATGGCATTATCCCTATAAACTTGCACTAACGTGTCCCTTATTTCACTTCCACTTTTGTCAAGTTTAGCAAGAAATCTATGAATGTTTATTTGTTGCTCTAACTCAAGTTCCAACATTGTCGTGATGGCACACAGAAACGTGCAACAATAATGATGAACACCACTCAGGAAGACACTGTCCCACGTTGACACGAACACAGCTGGGAACACTTACATACCAAGGTTGTGAAACCTTACTGAGTTGTTTATACAGTGCCACCAACCTAAGCTCATGGTGGCGAGTTCATGAGCTTAATTCTCAGACCAAATAGTGTTACTATTGGAGTAACACAGTATTACTATTTTCCTATTGCTAGATATTTAGATTTTCCAACTTCATTCTTATAAACAGTACTAAGATGAATATTTCTATATAAGAGTTTTTAGTAATTTCATTTTTAAACTAGAAAAGCATGATTATTTTCAAAATTCTTAGATATATGTATTCAAATTCTTTTTCAGAAATATTGTACTATGTCACATCAATAGTGTATGAAGGTACTTCTTAATCTTCACAACATGGGATAATACAAATTTTTAAAAGATTTGAAAATCTGATAAGTAAAAATGGTTTTAATTTGCAGAATTATTAATAGGTCCATCTTCCATGTGTTAATCACTGGTGTTTTTCCTGTGGTGAATTTACTATTTTTATACTTTATTCATATATCCACTGACATCTCAGTCTTATAATTTTTTTAATGATTTGAATGATTTCTTTGCTTTTTTAATGACATTTGTGACATATAAAAATGTGTTCTGTGTAAGTTATGAAGTATAGTAACAAAATGAAAGCTGTGAAAAGTAAATAGAATATTAACTGAAATTGAGTATTAAAAATATTGTTGAAGATTCCTGAGTTGTTTTCTCTTCATATCTCCTAGATACTGTTGTCCTGAATCTTGGATTTATTTTTCTATTGCTGTTCTTCATAGTTTTATTGTCTATATATGTATCTCTAAATAATATATTACTTAATTTGATTGTTTTCAAATCTAATAAATGTGGCATTATAGGTAATATTTATTTTGCTACTTGATTTATGCATTGCACATTAGATTCTCATTGTTTATACTTAAAGAATTCTATAATGCTCAGAGAGTTTGTATTGTTTTTCTTTTTTAAAATCTTAAACTCAATCTATTTGAAATTTATTTTAAAATTGTGTATTAGGGGAATCTGATTGGATTTCCTCTGAATAGTGGTCAGTTTTCCTAAGACTATTTATTTTCTTTTGACTTATTTATAATTCGTTACAATTTATGTAAGCTAAATTCTTATATATGCTAAGGTCTATTATTGCTTTGATTTTTCTGTTTCATGATTGTACTAAGTATCATGTGGTTTATTATAACTTTACAGATTTTTTTTTTAATATTTGATAAGTGTTTTATTCCTTTCCCTGATGTGGTTTTTGAGAAATGTCCTGAGGGTGGGAGCAGTGGCCCAAGCCTGTAATCCTCTAACTCTGGGAGACTGAGGCAGGTGGATTGCCTTGAGCTCACATGTTTGAGACAAGCCTGAGCAAGAGCAAGACCCTGTCTCTAAAAATAGCCGGGCATTGTGGCAGGCACCTGTAGGCCCCACTACTCAGAAAGTTGAGGCAAAAGAATCACTTGAGCCCAAGAGTTGAAGGTTGCTGTGAGATAAGACACCCCTGCACTCTAGCAAGGGTGACAAAATGAGACTCTGTCTTTAAAAAAAAAAGAAAAGAAAAGAAAAATGTTCTTAGCTAGTCTATTTTAGTGACCTTTATTTAAAAGATATTTTGTAAATAATCAACACATTAAATCCCATAATGGCATAAATATATTCATGATCTGTGTACAGATGACTTTAAAAAAAAAGATACTTTGTTAAATTCTCTATTTATGCCCCCTTTTGTTGTTCCCTCATTCTCTGCCTCCCAAAAATACCCCATTGTAGTATCAAAATCCAAATAATTTTGACTAGAAGTATAGTTAACATATAATTTAATTTTGGGAATAAGTGACTTTTTATGTCATGCAATCTTTTTATATGAGCCCAGTTCTGTTAGGTTTAAGTTTTAGTTGTAGTGTTCTCAGTTTCTTGTTAGCATAATTATTTGTGCATTGACTTTGATTTGTGGTATTTCTAATAAATAAGAGTTTGGATTTGTATTGTAAAGATGAAAAGGTTTTACGAATCATTTTTACAATTCATTTTGTAGGTACTCTCATTTACACACCCCATCTCCTTTCATTCTGCTGAAACATTTGAATCACTCTTGGCTTGTCTCAAAATGGATGATGAAAAAGTAGCAGAAGCTGCACTACAAATTTTTAAAAACACAGGAAGCAAAATCGAAGAAGATTTCCCACACATCAGATCGTGAGTTGAGTTTATTATGATAAATATTCCAGGCATCAGAAAAATAATTCTCTATTTCTTGATTTATGTAAAAATTAAAATCTTTCAAGTTTTGAGGAAAACGTCCAGGTTATCTTAAGCCTATACTGTTCAATTTAAATTCTCCCTTCCTGGGAAAAAGCATTGATTGGTATTTTAGAAGATACATGAAAATGGGGGATAAATATGACATATCTTTCCAAAGTATTGCTTTAACAGTCCCTGGTATATTATGGTCTAGAGTAACAATTCACACGAATTTAAGGTGCAAGGGGAAATTTTAAAAGAGGTTTAGCAGGACTGTCCATAGTACTCTTTACTTTCCTCTGTGATTAAGGGTACTGGACCAAAAAATTTCAGAAGCTACCACAAACTGGACAGAATTGGCAACAGATATGCCTGGACTGAACTGAATGTGGAAACACTGACAAATGATACATATCCCAGAATCAGCTGTATAAGGCAACGTATAGTAAGTGTCCTGTCCTTTGCTAATTTAGAGGGAAAAGATTGAGGTATAGACACACTTTAAAAGAATTAAGAAAAACATAATTTTAGCTGTAATAGGACTGATAGAGAGGTTTCCTAGTCATACCATTTTTCTTTAGGCTAACTTATTTTTCCTACCAGGAAGAGTTTGCTTACCAGGAAGTTTTGGCTTAATGGTAAAACTAAGAGGAAAATCATGAAATGTCTTTTTACCAACTTTATAGGAACAGAAAAAGTTATGTGCTAACCCTAAAAACAAGTAGTGATGAGTGATGGGGTTTTATTCAGACTCAGCCTCTCTCCCAGCAGGCTGGCTCACCTATAAGTAAATAGATAAGCCCAACTGAGGGTACCTTCATAGTATATGATAATACCTAGAGCCAGTTTTCATCTCTGTAAGAATTTTAACAGACTTGGAGAGAAACTACACACAGATAAAGGACTCACTCCTTTTAGCCTTAACTTATGTATGCTACTTAGATGATTAAGCAACTGTGACCTTAGTTAGGACTATTGTTAACCCTTTTTTTTTTTTTTTTTTTTTT